CACTTTCCTTCCTTGCAACTAAAAGATTGACATTTTGTGGATAGGAATATCAGAAATGATACTTTGCTCCCTTAAAATTAAAAAATGGACATTTTCTGGATAAGAATCTCAATAAATTACACTTTCCTTCCTTAAAATTAAAAAATGGACATTTTGTGGATAGGAATATTAGAAATTATACTTTCCTTTCTTAAAATTAAAAAATTCACATTTTCTGGATAAGAATCTCAAAAATGATACTTTCCTTCCTTAGAATTAAAAAATTCACATTTTCTGGATAAGAATCTCAAAAATGATACTTTCCATTCTTGAAACGAAAAAATTCACATTTTCTGACTAAGAGTATCAGAAATTATACTTTTCTTATGGTAATATTTCACAATACCAAAAGTGGATAAATGTAGAATCACCTTCATGAAAAAATTTGTCTCGGAACTACTGAATCTCAGATGCCAAGTCTCAGCCATAAAGTGACGATATTACCAATCCTCACAACACAGAACATTCTATCCCACTACCTCAAGAAATCACGTTAGAAACATCTATATTCATCAATGACTCGTTAAGTTCCTTTTCATTCTCTGGCGTCGCGATTCGATCAATCGCGAACCAGGAAAAAAACCAGCAATTATTCAATGACTAACCTCCGTTTCGCAATATCTCTGAAAGCATCGAGGAAGCCGGAGGAACAGCGCAAAAAGAGGGAAAAAAGAAAAAAGACTGAGAAAACAGATGTGTGCACGCGGGACACGGCATTATGACGACGGCAGTTAGAGCTCGCGGATTTAAAGCGTGCAGATATTCGAACGAGGAAATGGGTCTTAGCTCGAACGTGGGAAACACCTTGAGACAAACTGCCTCCTTAAGAAAACTTCCACGTAACGAATGCGATTGCTCGACCAACTTGGATCGACCTTTAGCTTCGGCGAGGTAAAGAAGAGGAAGATAAAGAAAAGAGAGGGGGGGGAAAAAAAAGGAAAGAGTCGCAAAAGAGGAGCAAACGCGAGATATAACGGAGGTCGGCCGAAAGAAACTGTTCGCGTTCCTTTAAATCTTCCAGCAGGCTGCTCTTTTCTCGCTGCGAAATTCCCTCTCTCTACCTCTGATTCCTCATTAAGTAAATGGCAGGGGACAAAAAATCGGCCGGGGGAAAAAGTTAGCGAGTAATTTAGAAAGATATACAGGGTCTTCGGTTGCCTCTCCTTCGACCCTGCGCTGCGAACGATAAGACGATTAGAAGACGTAGAAGTTCTATCGCCTGAGAGCTTCCTGAACCCGTTGTTGCTCGAACGGATTTGGATTAGCAAAAATCTCGGCTCTCCCGGCGGAACGAGCCATGGGACGATCTTCAATTAAACTTTAATTAACGCGCCGTTGGATTTAGCGCACCTATGGAAAAAGCACGGCTACCACTTTGTTAATTAGTGCACGTGTGCGCACGTGAACGTAACATCTCAATATGTTTAACTCGGTTACGGCTGTACGCGCACCGAGTGCGTCAAGTAAACAGAATTTTTTCGCAACAGGAAATAAGCAACGCGTGTATCGATAAACGAGGAATTCAATTGATTAAGTATAAGGATAACGTACAGGGTGTCCTAGTTGTAACGAACGTCTGCGTTATTTCTACTGTTATTAGAAGTATGAAAAAATTTGTAAGATGAGTTTATATGAGAATAAAAAAATAGTGATTTCAAGGTTACTGATATTTTTCGCATATTAACATGTTTTTTATAGTGTAACTTTGTAGACGATACACACTTTTTAATATTTTCTTCACATTTTCAACAGCAGCAAAAATATGTTTTATTTTCGTTATAACTGAATCCCCCTGTATCTTACGGGGAATAGGGGATTAATTATTCAAAGGACTCGGGTAAGAATAATAATCTATACATACACCGCAATATTAAGCAACGTCCAAACGCGTGACCGTTTAATAACAAAAAAGAAGAAGAAGCACGAGATAGCGCGTCGAAGCGAAATTAAAGAGGCATTAAAGAACAGAAGTTATGATGAAAGTTTGGAAGCTGGGCAACTTCCAAGCAACGCAGCACACAGAGGACGCTTCCTTGCCGCGCAAAAGAAAGAAAAAGAAGAAGAAGAAGAGGAAAAAGAAAAGAAAATAGAACGACCGGTCGAAAGAAGCTACCGAGGCACTGAATGCGATTGCCGGAGAAAAGTTGGATTAATTTACTCTCGATAAAGGAAAGGAGGGTGAAAGAAACGATTGGCCGGGTTTGGCTTGGTGGCGCAACATTTCTCCAAGTGCAACCGGCTGCCTTGCGGGCCCTAATGGCTCTTTAACGAGTTAAACAATCGTTAAGAGTTTAAACAATCTCGCTGGTTCGGCTGGACTTTTTAAAACGACCGATTTCCACGGGGTGGCAACTCGGTAAAGTCCAAGAGTAGACAGAGAGAGAGAGAGAGAGGTGAGTTTCGGTTCGCAGACACTATGAAACTTTTCTCTACTCCTCCTTCCTTCTCTACTTTTCCAACCCCCGCGGTTCCACCTTCTCTGCTCGGTTTACTCACCGTTTCGGGCCGCGTACTTCCACGAACTTAAGTCGAAACTAAGTGTCCAGAGGATCCAACGCAAAGACACGAATCCCGTGGAAACCGGCTGCTTCGTTATCCCCCTTTGTTCCGACAAATTTCTCGACCGCGCTGTTATTCGACCGTCCGGCAAGTCCTGCTCGAGAACTCCGTCAAACAGTTCCGCTTTGAGACCGCCGCGTCACGTTTACATGCTAAACGCCCGCGAGACCGGACGCGTACGTGTCTCGATGGACATGTCGATGGAAGTTTGGTGTTTCCGATGCCTCGGTATTTCACGTCCGTGGAATTTCCGATTTTTCGAGGGCTCGAGGAATGTTCGAGGGCCGTGAGAACGTACGACAAAATGAACTATTTTGTTCTTTTGCGGGCACAAATAGTGGGAACGAAAGAAGGTGAGTAAATTACAAAATCGGGGTCAATTTTTTTTTTTTTATATTTTTGGGAGACTAATAGCATTTACAGCAAAGGAGGATCAAGTCTCGTTAATGTACAAAGAGGGAGCAATTTTTGTATTCGTAAAAGTTTCACTAGATAATTTTCAAGGGTGAGATAAATCCTATGAAAAATTTGAATAAATAGCAAAGTGAATTTGAAAAACAATTGAAATTATATCGATAAAAAGATTGCACAACCAACTTTTTCACAATCGTCCATCGAAACTAAATTGCAATTACAGAGAGACCTATTTTCCTCTCTTTCCTGTGTTATCGCAATCTTATAGTTTAAATTGTCGGAGCAATATCCTAGATTAGCCCCGTTCAAACTAAGCACTAGCTCACTTAAAGAACCTCTCCTACTCCGTTTTCGTTAACCTAGTATAGTCACGTCAGCTGATGTCATTCTACCCACGAAGACCAATAGAAACCCCTCTCGACGGAATTAAAATGTCGCGTTAAAGAATGCAGTGTCTTCACAGAAGCCACACACACACTTCTTGGAATTCCCAATTTTCACTCGCGTTAAATAGCTTACAACGGGTTTCCCCTTTGTCGAAGGATGTGCAGCATCCTGTACGATAACTAAATGCACTATTTTCTTTTCCCCCGACTAGCAAAACCAGATCCTTAACCGAGAATTCTAACGTTCGTGTTTTATTTTACGAGGAGAATACGAAGAGAAATTTTGTTTCTGAATTCTTCTCAGCTCACAACCACCACGAGTTTCACGTGAAAAGGCATAAAACCGTGCAAGGGGTTGAACATCCAAGTCACACTACCCTAGTACAATGCCCCTCTTACCGCCTAGTTCCCTACTGGGTAGTTCTACCTGTACTAGAACCGAGGACTCTCACTGACGACGAAGCACAGAACACGATTCTTTCGTTCGTCTAACGTTGACACTTTCAAAGCGTATAAAGTCAAAGTTAACTTAACTTAATCGTCCAAGAAGACGACAAATTTAAATAACAGACAAGTTCAAACTGTCCTGAATCACATCCAATTCACTACACAGTGAATATGTTAATATGAAAACACAAAACCTGAAAAGGAAGTGGTGAAAATGGGACTTGGACAAACCCAACATCCTGCACGCAACATCAGCGCTACCACAACAGAAACCAGATAAAGCCAATCCACTCGAAACTACTTTCGTGGCCAACACTGTCCTCGAGCATCATCGAGTCCCCTCTAATCCCCGCGTCAAGGCCGGTGAAAAACCGTCGGTATCTATCCGACCTACCGCAAAACCGCATTACCGTTCTCGTAGGAGGGCCCGTGGCCGTCTATCAGCGTCTCCAGATGGAAAGAAGGGCAAACGAGACAGCGTCGATACCAATGAGAAATAGCAGAGAGCAAGGTTCGTCCTACTGGCGTCATTCGTCGCGATGTTCGCCGATTTTTCTGGCCACGATGAGGCAGCATCAGCAGCAGCAGGCCCCTCTTCTGTCTTTATAAAGGCGTGCACAGCACTCACACACACACGGTCGAGACCGTAGGACGACGAAGAAGAGGAAGAAGACACGGGGAACACAAAGAGGGAAAACGGAGAAAGAGAGGAGACTACGAGGCTCGTCGTGCCGCTCTGCAAAGGCCATTTACCGGTGACAGAGACAAATAGAACCGGGTACGTTCTAGGGGGGTCCGTGAGAGAGGGGCCGTGTGTCGTCTAACCAACAGAAGCGGAGAGAGAAAGAGAGGAAGGGCAAGAAGAACGAGGAGAAGCCATGGTGCAACGAGAACGGGCCATAGTAGGAGGACGAGGAACGAACAGCGCAAGACGATGAATTCCGTCACGGCCTGGCTGGCTGGCCCCTTGTGCCAGTGCCGTCACTTGCCTCATGGGTGCCCTTTACCTTCTCTACTCTCCCTTTTTTTCACTTCTTACACTTTCTCTCTTCTCGCTTCTCTTCCTCTCTCTCTCTCTCTCTCTCTCTCTCTCTGCGATCTTCTTCCTACCGCGGCGTAGTTGAATAATTTCGTGGCAATTAACGCGTTCGCCACATGCCCTTGAGAGCCTTGGAATATTGCGTCGTACGGCAAAAACTGGAAGGTAAGACGCGAAGGTGGACGAGTATCGCGACGAAGGAAGGGGAAACGAGGAAGCACGTACTACTTGCGCCTGCCTGTGTGCCTCTTCTTCCTTAACCTGAATATGGAAGAAGCGATGGTTGGAATGCAGCGTGTCGTTACTCCGAGGACGGGTTTTAGGTAGGCGAACCAGAGGTTCTTTCGTTAAAAATCACGAGTTTCCGGGAAACAGTGCACATTCGGGGTAATAATAGAGAGAGAGATGCACGGGAGAACGCGTTAAAAATTCGACGGATGGACCGAATAATATAAACCGGAAGGGTGCGTCACGGGAAGGAGACCTATGTGTTGTAAGTCCTCGGCTGTAACTGCGTTAGATACGGCACACTGACACAGGGCAAAAAGCGACACGTTTGCTGTTCGAGAGCTGGCGTTTCATGAAACATAAATGCTGGCATATCCATTCGCTCGAAATCCCGCGTGGGCCGTTTTCGCTGTCTCATTTTCTATACTCCATTACCGTTGTCATTAAACCGCGCTTGGGATGTTGCGGGAGGAACCTCTGATCCCATGCGTGTTGCTCGCGTTTTATTACGATTCAGAGTCCTCCTGCGCTAAAACCCACCAACCCGAATAGACTAGACGAGAGAGAGAGAGAGAGAGTTTGGCGATCGCTGTGTGCTAGCAGATGTTCCCAGAACTGAAATGGGGCTCGAAACTCGAAAACAGAAACGCGCGCGATGCGCCGACGAGGGAGCAACGACGCTGTCCAAAGAGACTTATAGTTTAAGGGTGGAAACAGGCGAAGGACTGGTGTTATAGACGGAGAAGGAAGAGAATCTAGAAACGGTACATTGGGGCTCGTGGCGGCTAACAGGGAAGAGCAGGGGTGTGTTGCTGTACAAGGCTGACGGTAAGCTCGATGCCTGTTAAGTTTCTCGTGTATTATATCGTGTGCCGAAGCCCCAAGGGACGTCCAAGCTTTGGGGTTCGCCAAGAGGATCGACCCGGCGTCCTGCTTAAACTCCGCGGAGAAAAGGGGGGAAACAGCAACGAAACACCCTTCCTGAAGCTCGAGGGTTGATGG